GGCAGGGAGACCACCTCCAGCTATTCCCAAAGTATAAACTCCTAAACTTCAAGGTTTAGGCAAAGCCTCGTTAGCTCTGAGCTTAATGGTTGGCATCCAGCTTCTTGCCCAAGGGACCTGACTCACCAGTCCAAATAGGCTTAAACTAGACAACCCTTACTGATGGATCACAAAATTTTTCCTCTCTCCCTGGCTGATAAAGGGTACATTTTTGTGATGAAGCTTCTGAGAAAGCATCATGTGAAATCCAGAACAGAATGCAGAAAAGCCAAGTGTCAGACCCACCATCCACCCGGCCCGATGTGTCTTCAGCTGCAACAGCACCAGTGTTTCAGAGTAAGTTGCCAGAGACTCTTTGGAGGCAAACGTGGAATAACCCCATAGAAAATCCTCCTCCTAGCAAGATATATTTGAACTCTGCAGTTTTATGTACCTTCTAAAACTTTATTTAGTTGGTATTTACTGCAAATCAACTTATTTACATAAATGACTTAGCACTTTGACTCCTGCTAAACTCCTGGCTTCTTTCACAATCTAATTAGCTAATGTATTTAACACAATCAGTTCCCAGTTTTTCATTCTACCAATTGAGATGTTCTGCTACATCTACATGACATTGCCACATCCAGTATTTTCCTGGATATGAGAAAACGAGAAACACTCTTCTTTCACACTCGTAGACTAAAAAAAACAACCAAATTTTGTTGCTTTGGTCTCTTATCCAGCCTCAATACACATCAGCACACACCACTCACAACGCTGGATTCAGACGCTCTTAGAGAAAATGATGAATGGCCACAAGGAATGCTCTTCGATGTCTACCTAGTGTTCCTCTGGTCCTCAGGTTTAGCATCAGCACATCAAAAGCAGCAGTCCTCTGGTGTTCCTCGATATCCGAGAGCAGCATATGATTTTTAAAAGGCAAAGATCTTATGGCGCCAAGAAACTCAGACACCATTCTACTACTCATCTTACAACAACAAGGCAGTCTAATGAACAGCTTAAGTCTCCAGGAGTAGCCTACAGAGGCTCTCCTTGCCTGACCTTAGGAAGTGCCTCCCCTCTACCCAAATGGGCAGAGAAACAAGGAGAAGAAATCCCTTGGATTAATGACATCTATGGCTCTTACTTCGGACATGCTCCTTGTTCCTAAGGCACCTTGTGATAAATCCTCTGCAGAGTGGCTTTAGTAGGGGTAGTGAGACAAGAAGGAAGGGCATAAGCAGTGGGGATATAAATGAACTCATTTAGGGATTCATTCTCTGACCTAATTCCCCACAAGAATGAATAGTCTTTGAGCACCTAGACATGGACAAGGGTCACCTCTAACCCACGTCACCAGGTCCAGCACCACAATAACTGACCCACTGGAGCAGATGAAGGTTACATGCACACACAGTTACAAGGAGACAAGCACACAGGGTAGAGCCAAAAAGAAAGGCTGCCTTTCAGACTCAGCTGCAGAGTCACTCGGCTTTCCTCTTCGCACCTGAAGTCAGACAACTAAGCTCTTGCTCTTACACATTTTCATCTTACCTGTTCATATAAATAATAATCTACATAACTATTAAGTAGGTCCCAAGCATTACCACTAACCTTTCAAAAGAATTGATATTACAGGCCTTGAAAGAGTTTGTGAGTAAATTAAATCAGTACAAGTGGTCCCTGATTTAAGCTATTTTAACTCTCTGCCCTTAGTAAACCACATACGTTTTAAACTGCTGCTACATTACACCTAAAGGGAAAGGAAAGAGAAAACAATGGAGAGCTTATGACTTTCTTTGATATTAAAAAATGCCCAACAGATTGTTACTGTTATTATAAATAATTATACAAGCTAATTTTTATACAAGTCCTGCACTACAGGACTGTCTTATATCTCCGGCTGAACATGTAAATCTTATCTCTAGAGATAAATTATATTAAAAACAAAATGGAAAACAATTTTGTGCTTTCACAAAAGCAAAGAAGCTTCTTCCTCTATTTAGCTTTTTTAATTTCTAGACACAATTTACAGGGAGAAGAAACATATTTTAAAAACCTATCTGAAGTCTTCTGTCTACAGAAACAAAGAAGGAATTTTCCCTTCTCAAGGATTAATTACCCTCTCTGAAGTGCAACTGCCTTTTTAATTAATTTTCCTTTCTAGACCCAAGGTCTAGTTCCAAAGGTCTCCAATTAAAACAACAAGGGTTTCCATCAGCGCCTCAGCCAGATAGCAGGATTGGATACAAATCCATAAGACAGACCAAACTGAAAAAAAGGACGTATGAGAAATAAGATTACTTCTTTAAACCAACTATTGGTTCCATTTTGAATGGGAATGGCTGCTGTTACTCACTAGTCACACAGCCAAGCTATGGGTTTATCAGAAAATGAATGAAGACTATATATACTTCCAAAGAGAAGTTGTCACTTGGATAACGAATGCTATCTGAATACCTGAGAAACAACATACTCATGTAATGTGGAAATAAAAAAATAAATAAAAAGAGGAATTATCCTGTACAACTGTGAAGCTTCTGTTCCCCACAGAGGAAATATTCTGTGCCTGAAACTATCTTGTGTTCATAAGAGATACCAGATACTCCTGGGGAACTTGAGCAGTGAAATAACACACACCAAACGCTTTCAGTTCTACTGCAGCAGGCCTGTCTGCACACCGCATTTGCAGACCAGGCACATGCTGATTTGGATGCCACGCCATATTCAACACTGCTGTTGGGCTTAAGTCAATGAGACTAGGAAATGGGCACAGCTCCAAGCAAGTGACCTGAGCCTTGCTCAGGCTGGTCCACACTTCAGAAAGCTAGAACTGAGTAATACCAGTTCCATCTACAGTGCAACTTATCTTAACTAAACCCACTAACTAATGGCTTGAGAACTGGCACGTACTATTTACGTGTCAGTGAGTGATCAAAATTGGCTGCGGGGCAGGCCTTCCTTATGAACTTCATACAACTTGACAAAATGTATTTCAAACCTTAAGATGAGCAACAGACAGACAGGAGGGAGAAGCAGCTTTGAGTCAGCAACAGGAACAAGAAGGCCACACTATAAGGGAAACAGTTTTTTGGTGGAGATAACACACTAGCCTGCAATAAGCCATGCAACTGGGGATCAATAATTCTGGAACATCTAATGTATGTACAGGTCAGAGTTCCCTTCATCATAAAAAAATCCTAATCAGAAAGAGGAGTAGGTGCCAGACAGTGCATCATACATTAACCAGCAAGTGCACCCAGGGTTCTGTGGCTCTTGCAGCAAAGCAGTGCTGATATTGTGGTCAGACTGAAGGGTCTTTTCTATCTTTTTCTGTTTAGTGTCTAGGAATTTGATAGACAAAGGATGAAAAAAAAGGAGAGCGCCTTACTCAAGTTGCTGAGGCCTGATTCAAGTGCTATACAAAGGCCACAGGGTGGTCCTTCATCTTCCCCACAAGAGGGTAAAGGAATAGTCCTCCCCAAGCTGGTAAATGAAAGAGCATCTTACTCTGACAGATACCAAGCCCTTCTGTTCTGACTCCCTGAAAGGTTGTCCTGTGGTTGCCCCTGCTTGAGTAAGGCAGCTTTGCAGTTCCTCCCTCATCAGGCCCAGCCCGATACCTGCACAGGGTTCCCCACCCAGGTGCACACTCTCTTTTGAGAAAAGTGGCTGGTTTTCCCCATCTTGGGGCTGAAAGCAGCAACTACTCTGCTACCTGCCTGCTCACCCAGAAAGCCACTGTGCTCCAATCAGTTTTCTTCCAGTGTTCTTTGCATTTCCACTCCTCCTGCTCCCAGCTTGGGCTGCTTTACTGTAGACTGACTGCTCTCTCTCTTACTGTTTTGACCTACTAAGGGGTCTGGGGCAGTGAATAAGTAAGCAGAAATAGTTAAAAGAAGAGGTTGAATATGGAGCAAATTGCACAGCACTACAATATAGCCTTAATAGGAAATATGTGGCCCTCCTACGAGAGTGAAATCTTTGGCTTTAACTACCCCAAAATCATTTTGTCCATCATTCCCTCTCAACAGAAAGAACGGACCAAGTAGAGGTGCTTTACCTGGAGGACTTAAAAATAAAACTCAGAACTCTACTACAATTACCATGCAAACAGCCATTTTGTGTCTCTGCAAAGAGGTATCAAAATGTAAATACAGGAGTATTCTTAGAAAAGAGAATGATTTCAAGTTAAAAGTATTAAACTACAGTTACAGATAAACATTATTTAAAATTAATCTCTGAAGGATTAACTTAATCCTTGTTCAACTCTGCCAGTACTCGAGCAGAAGGTGATCACTATTGCCATCGCTAGCCACCAAAACATGCCAAGGACCTCCATCCTTTACCAGGTGGTCAGGGTTAGCCATGGCCCTGCTGATTCTGCTTTACAGAAAGGATTGGTTAAATCCCACACCTTACAAGTTCTGAGCAGAGATGTTCTTGTCTAACAATACCTTTGCAACAGCAACAGCAGCTGACAAGCTACACTTCTCTGGAGAGCCTTTTCCTTGCTACATATGGCAGCTGGCAGCAACACCAGTGAATCAACATGCTGCTACTAAGAAACATTTCCTGTGTATTTATTGGTTGTACTCCAACCTTTTTGTATTTATTCAGCACAGCAGTAATTTCTTCTGCTTCACATCTGGATTACAGACAGAAAACTTTTGGTGGTTACTGAAGTTTTAATCATCTACACATCCCTACAAGCAGAAGGTATAACATCCAATTCTTAATCTGTAGGAAAACCTTCTTATGGATTTCTTGGTGTGCATCTTCCCTCACCCCCTGTTCAAACAGAAGCAGTGATTGCCCTTTGGGGTGGTACGGCCTGCAGCACGGCCTGCCGCACACCCACCCACCCACCACAGTGAAGGAAGCACGACCTGCTGGTGACATGTAGTGGTGGTAGGTGATGACATTATCAGTGGCTAGGTGACAAGCCAGCTGTGCTTTTGGCTCATTGCAGCTGACAACCGCCCTCTAGTGATACAGACGCAGCAAGAGAGTCGGAAAAGTTATTCACAAAATAGTAACAGATGTATTTTCACTTCATTTCGTACCGGCACGACAGATCAAAACCATGACCACCTGAACTTGGCCTCTGGGCATTTACCAGCTGTGACATGAAGACCCAGCCCGATGCCTGCACAGAGCAGACCTCCAGAAGCTTTACAGAAGGAGCAGCTGACTGTGGACAACCAGGCAGTCACAACTACCTTTCTGCACTGGTACAGCAGGGAAGGAGGGTATGAAGAGAAACCAGGTAGTGTCTGAAGAGGAGCTGGCAGAATTGTGCCTTGGTTCTGTTACACAGAAGTGCCCATCAGGCAGTACTAGGGCTGGGTGGCAGCCTGCTACACTCACCGTTACCCGTCTGCCGTCCCTGCCCCTTCCCATTGCTTCAGCTGGTGTAATAGACATGAAAGAACAGAGTCTTATTGCGGAGGAGAGAGTACGAGTTATCAAATTTCAGCAGGTAGATGCCCTCGCCTGGATACTCATGGCTGCCTGCCTGCACCTCTCGATGGCTGTTCCTCCGATATACGGGCATGATCTCTCCGTAGCGGTTCCGCAGATAGCTTTTGGAACCTCTTTCCACGTCACCAACAGGGGCAAGTCCTGGATGGGAGAGAGGAGACAAGTAAGTAGTCCAGAGCCATTTGAGCCAGTTAACCCACTAGGTAGTCCAGAAAAAAGGTGAAGACAACCAGAATGCAGCAGAGTTGTGCAGATATATGGAAGGCTAACTATGATAGCATTACCCATAGTGTCTGCTCTGACCTTTCTGCAAATAATACCCACAAAGCCCAGCTCTTCTTATTGTGACAAAGGACATGCCGAGAACCAATTCTCCTGGGAATACTGATGGGACAGTATCCACTTGCCTGCCAGCCTGGTCTCCTCTACCTGGACTTACTTTTTAGACACCTCACTGCTTTTATACACACAACAGTGGTGCACTGATATAGACCTGAAGCAAAAGAAAGGTGGGAAAGCTCTTAGCTATAACCTCACTGTGTTCATGTCCGCAATTCACTTCTCGAAGAGGACTCCTCATACAGGAACCCACCCTTCTTTGGAGAGCCTACAAATTCCAGACACCAGCCCCTCAGCTACACTGCTCACACATACACTGAAGCCACAGAATAGGCAACATGGCTGTGTCTTTCACAAGTCCAAAGTCACAGGTAGCGATCCTCTCAAATGCAGTCAGGAGGAGCCACTGGGGCGGGGGACCACACCAAAAAACACCACCCAACCCCAGAAACAAACCCTCCTACTCATCACCAGAAATTTCTCAGTCTGAGAGGCTAAGAAAAACAGTCAAGTTAATATTTCACACCCTAATCTTTTATGAGCTAGAAGTTGAACAAGTGAATTCTGATTTTATTTTTCAATGTGTTCAATTTTAAGAATGCTCTTGGAGAAGGACAGCCATTGACATACGCGGAAGCAGGAAGGGCTAAATGCTTACTCATCACAGCCTAACCAAGAACCCAAAAGGCTGCAGAGATAACAAGTGGGCTGAGTAAACAAAGTAGACAGAAATTACAGCATCTGACAGACACTCTCAGCAGCATGGCAACAAGCACCACAAATTAACCCTTATAAGCTCTGCACTAACCTTCAATTTCTTCCTCCTCCTCTTCATCCTCCTCATCACTGGATTCACTGACCTGAACAGTAATGGCAGTGCTAGTAACCGTGGTCCAGTCAAAATAGACTCCAAACCCAATGTCGTAGTCATCTGTAGCAAACTCCCAGCAAATGCATTTCCCATCAGGATGGGTTGGCACACGGACCGTCACCACCTCTCCTCGCTTCACCACCATCTGGCCATTCTTCTCTTTTCCCATCTTGGCTTTGAATTCCTTCATCTTCTCAGTGGTCCACATGGTGGGTGGAGCCAGAGGGGGAGGCTGAGCTAAGACAACAGAAAAGATTGTGGACTCACCTGGCTTTTCACTACTGACAAACTGTTACCTGAAAACAATGAAGCGATTTCTGATAAGGCTTTTGCATTCTGGATCCTGCTTCCACAAGCCTTGGATGTGAAGTTTTCCCACTCGCTTGCCAGGAGCTCAAATTTCCAACAGGAATTAGCAGTGTCTCTATGACAGCCTTTGCTCTTCTCTAGCCAGGGCAGACACTTAAAAAGTGGCCCAAACAAGTGTTTTCCTTTCAGGACTCACCTTTCCTCTGCTCCCCAAGGAGGTCTGCAGTCTCCAGCTCAGCTGAAAGGATATCCACAGCACCGGTGTGATCTGACTGAATCATGACTATATCCCCTGCTCCTTGAGGTACATGGTAGTTGGTTATCTGAACAGCACCTTCCTGCACAAAGCACATAAGAAACACTGTCACAAAGACCACTGTGGTAAGAAAGTCCCCAGCTGGATTTAAAACAGTTCATTAGTAATTCACACATCTTTCTGAAGCCAAGTCAGACCTGCAGAAGCTTCTATTAGTTAAAAAGAACTGGCTGGCTCCGAGACACCTCACTGCATTATTTCCCTCACAGTACCAAAGCCATGAACTCTCCAAGTCAAATGCTGCATTGTCTCACAAATTACACACCCCTTGGCCTCGCTGGGAGTCCCTGGGCAAACACATCTTTGCATCTGCCTCATAGTTAATTGTCACCTCTCAACAAAGCAACAGCCTTACAGATTTAGCTGGCTACTCTTGGAGATAATTCCCAAGAGACAATCTCTCTAGGGAGAGCTTTCAGCTCTGTGTGCGTCTAGACTACAGCCACAATCAAACTCTCATTTGCTACATCCTAGTTAAAAGTCCATCTGGTTCACTAGGGCCAACCCTCTCTCCTCATACATGCAAACTCACAGCTCCTGAGCTGGGTGCCACTGGGTTTTCCTGACTGTGTCTGTAATGCAAACAAATTGGCTGCTCACCAAAAGAAACAAAAGGCAGCAGAGTCCCTTTCAGCTCCCTCCTCCATAAATCTGCAAGGGAATTCCCAGAAGCCCCAGACAAGAAGCAGAAGGTGAGAATAACCTTGAAGCTTCAACAAACCAAAAACTGCAAGGAAGTGAGGACTAGCTGAAGACACAAGAGGGAAAATCAGACTGATAACATTTACCTACTGCTAATGTATAGAAAAAAATATAACTGGATCTATGTTAATACTACTTTTGTTTTAACACAACCCTTAAAGCCTCAGTCCCACAGCCATAAGCACAGCAGTAGGGTGGAAGAAGTATTGCTGCAGCTCTGTCCTTTGCTTTCAAACATAAGAAACACCCACCTACCTCTTTGAGGGACTGGATTTGGTCAGGCAGCTTCTCTTCTAGTTCAGCCAATTCCTGGTCCTCCAAAGTGCCAGCTTCTTGCTTCAAATCCTCTGTCATGCCCGCACTCACAAGCAACCCAATCTGCGACCTTTCGGAGGAAGAGAGCACTACAGTTCAGCACTTGCACCCAGAGCACAGCCAGTAGAGGAATCACTCTGCTCTGGAACTCGAATTTAAATGGACTGAAGGGAACAAGCTTCTGAGGTCAGCACCTGCCAACTGCACAAAGAGCCCTCTGCACCCCAGTCCTGCCCTCATCTCCACATGACTATCTTCCACAAGGGTCAGAGGGAGCAACTTCAGTGAGATACTCCGTATTTACTGTCCTTTCTATGGCAGCCATCCCTGCACTCGCCCCACAGCATGCTAACTCACCAACACTGTACTAAGTGCAGAGGTCAGTAGCAACTTCTCTACTCAAGAAAGGACAACTTCTTTTATGCCAGCTACTACATGACATCTGCATATTCCATCAGAGGTCAACAGGATCAGTGAAAGGATTCAAAACAGTTTGGACACCATGCTTTGACGCCCTCTATTTAAGTGGCCCATTATGCCTTTCTATTCGCAATCCCAAGAGATAGAGGGAGCACCCAGGTGTGTCTCTGCCATATGCTGCACAGACAAGCAAGTCATAAAACATACAACGGCAGCAAAATAATAGCAAAGAAGTCCAAGTACTGCACTGTGACAAGAGGAGATGGACATGTTAGAACAAAAAGAAAGGTATGTAGCAGGAAAAGAATGGGCAAGAAAGGAAACGTCTTTGGCATTCATTCTCTGTTGAGGGTTTTCCTCTAAATTATATTAAAAAACACTGCCTATTGTCTATAGCTGGAAACGGTTATCATCCCAACTGAACTCAGATGGATGCCAGAAGTGTCCCCTCTGTCATACTCTCCAATACTATGTGACACTTCCATGAGAAGCAACCCAGTCTTTAATTAGAATGGAAACACTTGCCCTTTTGAAAAGCAAAGCCCTCTCACGGCACTATAAAACCAATGTCAACTGCCTTGGTCTAAAGGATCAGAAACATAAGAACACAGCAGTAATGGAAAATACATACTTTTCCTCAAATGTCTCCTTTCAGAGATGAGAAATATTCTCATTAGCAAGGTAGCAGACTATCAATATAGTGTGGAATATTTAAAAAAAAAAAATCTAAAAAATCCCATACACAGCTCAACTCGGACACTTTCCTTGCTGCATCCATAGAGAAGACTAGAATAGGCAAATGTGGCTTTTGTTTCCAAATCTTTAATTCTATGGCGGTACAGATTCTACAATTTACTTAAATTCTCTCAATAGTGTGATTTCCTTTCCTAGATATGGCATGATAGACCAGAAGGTCTGTAAGAACAACTCAAATGAGCTGAATACCAGGACACACAAAATGGCAGCAGATGGACAATACAAGAAAAGAAGGGACACTTGGAGGGTACAAAATTTTTAAAGGAAGAACTCTCACAGGGATCCCCAACGATTTCTCCAGCAGCCCAGGACAAATTTGGACCATTATTTTCCATCCCATTTGCTTTTTGCTTAGTAGTTGCCTGATCACACCTAGAAGGGCTATTTGGTCACACACCTACTCAAAGGGCTCTCCATCAACATAGGAAATAACAGCTTGGGAATTTTTTTCTCCAGACAACACTGAAGCCCAAGATTAGGGAGAGCTATACAAGCTTTATAAGCATATTTAAAAAGACAGGGTTCAGCTGATTCCTCCTCACATAACCCTTTTGGACCACCCCTGTCCCTTTCAAAGGAGATTTAACTCAGACAAATGTATCAGGTAACAGTCACAAATATTCAGAATCTACTTTGGCCAATTTGCTCAGAGTCTTTATTAATCTCTTTGAAAAGAATAAGAGGACATAATAAAGAGATAGAAGAACACATATTTGGTGTCAAGAAGGCCAACACAGATGTCATTAGCATCTAGACAAGACAGCACCAAACTGCTGTTTCAGTACTTAGGATGGTTTGTTGGGGTTTTTTACTGGATTTCCCACCCCCCCCCTCTTTTTTCAATGAGGTTCGGGTTCATCTATTGTCTTATGTAATTAACTCACACATTTCTGAAATCGTATCATGTGCAATAAATGTATGATGTCAAATGAAACTCCACCACATCCGGTATTGGTGCTTGTAACCAATGCAATGACTTGGCCACAAACACCACGTGCCCAACAGACGATAACAAGCCAAACATCTGATAACAAGGTCAATCACCAGCACTAATGAAGGAGTAACACAGAAAACAAAGGGTGAACAAAAAAGCCTAAAATGTTGTTGAGAAAACAATAAAAGGTGCTTTCTTGCTCAGCTTCCACCAGAAATATATATAGTGCGAATCCTTAATTACTAAAGCATCCTACAGACAGGACAGAGAAAGTTTATTAGCTCTTACAATGGACTACAAAACTTTGCAGGGTTCCTTCCAAGCTCAATGATTCTGTGATTTGAACAGCTGAGCCATGAACTTAATTTCATAAGCTTTAAAACAATCTTAAGCCTGTAAGAACAGCCCCTCCTGTACCGACTACAGTATATGCTGTCCCAAAGCAGACAATTCAGTCTCCAGTCCCTTCTCTTTACCTGCACAGAATCAACTGCCACATGGCAGATGTCACAGGGATGAAACAGCCTGTCATGCATGTGGGCCACAATACACAAAAAGGTTTTCCTACCCGCTCTGCAAAGTACTGGACTCCAAAGAATCAACCAGCTGATCTGCAGGCTCTGTCTTTTGGGCTGAGTCTTCATTTTCTAAAACCAAACAGAATACATGGAGAGAAGGTGAAATAAATTTCAGTCTTCAGAATACACAGACAGGAGGAAAAACTACAACCAGCACTCAAATGCTGACAAGATCACATGGCCATGGAATGAAGAGCTGTGCCAACCAGTTTTTCGTGTTATGAGCTGTATCTAGCACCTTGCAGAACAAAGATTTTTAATTGTCTCAACCCCAGGAAAGGGAGATCAAAAACCCATGCATGTTTTTGGTGCTGAACGACTCTCAGAAGCAGGGTTCATTCAGGAACCACCAATCCTAGCTTCAGAAGGACAGAACAAGGCCGAATTTCATTATGTAAAACTAGGCTGACACAGCCCTGGAAAAAGCAATCAAGCAGCAGTTCCCACAGGGCACTGACGAGATGGAAATTCCTAGCTCGCTGCTAAAAGTGCTGTCTGCAAAGATGGCTCCTGCTGTCCCCCGAGTCTCCTGAACTCTGGGAAAGCTCTGTCCCCATACCACTGCGGTGCGCGCTCCACAGCCCTGCTGTCTGATCGCATTAAGGCAGTGAACTGGGCATGGGCAAGTCCCAGCTTTTGCAGCTCTCCGATGATAACACCGTGCAGCCGCTGGCCGTTCGCGGAGTCGCTTCGGAGCAGGGAGGCACACCCCGGCGGCCCCCAGCCCACGGCAGACACCGCAGGGCGGGGGCACCCCAGCTGCCGGCTAGACGGGGCCTCTTTCACCGGCGAAAGCGCCCTGTCTCTAGTAAACCTCCATCAGCCTTCGCTCTTTCCACTGCGCGGAAGAAACGCCGGGAACTGCTACCGCAGCTCCAGGCGCTGGCGCGGCAGGTGAGCCGAGCACCCCGGGCGCGGCGGTGGTGGGGTCGTCGTGTCCGTCCGTCGTGTGTGTGTGTGTGTCCCCACGCGCGGGTGCCGCTGCAGAGGGTGCGCCTGGGCCCCACAGCCCCCCCGCCCGGCGCAGCAAATGCTCGCCGAGGACTAATTCCCGATGCTGGTCTTCCCAAGGGATACCGTATTTTCACCGAAGCAAACTGCCACCGTGGAAACACGGCTTCTCCGGGAGAAACGAGGAAACCCGCC